GTGAACATTATTTTTCCTTTTTTTCAAATTTATGATAGGAAAAATTTTGCTCTTGGACATGTCAGCTAATGTCTGGTGGCTACGATGAATGAATAGAAGCATACGACTGAGCCCCGTAAGTCGGGCGGCGGGCTCCGGCACCTACCAAAGATTTTTTTTTTTTTTTGAAGTAGAGCCAAATAGTCACGAAAATAATTTGCTCTGGTCGTGAGAAATAATAATGATTGAGTGAGTAGCGTTAAATACTTCTTCGCAATGTAAAAAAATAAAGAAACAGGTTAAAAGACATTACATTGCTCATACATCGCACAAATACACAATGTTCGCTGCAGGCGTGATAACGGACCATTTTGCGGAGACGCCTCACGCATGTTGGAAGAATGTTTGCTTCGCACATGTTTGCAGGCAGTTTCTGTACAACCAATGTGACCGTCAGACGAAGAAGAAACACGCTTCCAACATCGTCCGCAGTTTGTCTTTCGTATACTATGCATTGGCAGTGTGAGCGCGGCTTCAAAGCTCTATTCCGGAATCAGAACAGGATGAGAGACCCTCGAGTAATCGCGGTGTGTACACAATACGCGAAATGGAGGATAACGTCTTGACAGCGCATCCTCGCTCGAAGGAAGCTTCTGTCGCTTGGCGCACGAATGTCCGCTCGGTCTGGGGCTCGGGTTGAACCCGAGTGTGACGTCAGCGTTCGGCTGCCACTCGCGTCCAATCGGAAGGCGAGACCTAGCCGAACGTAGACGTAGCACTCGTGTCTAATACAGTGTACGTGAAACACGTCTCTGGAGCTTTACTCATGCACTGCGCGAAGTAGTTCTTATAAGATTCGGTCGTCGAAGGAAGAAACGATGGTTATAGCGCTTTGACACGTGTTCGTTTCGATAAAATAAACATAAAACTAATCCAAGATGCATCCCCATATATCTTACTTCGATGCATGAAGCGAGAAATTAATGACGTTCTGCAAAAAGCCGGACTAACTTTTAGGCGCTCGTTTCCGGCGTCAGCGGCGTCGCCGTCGCCGTAACCTCGCGTTGCATCATGGGTCGTTTCCATAATGGCGTCACCCGTGACGTCACGAGGGTCACGAGTGACGTTACGAGGGTCACCCTCGTGACGTCACACGGCTCCTAAATTTAGCGGAAAAAATTCCCCGCTAAATTTAGTGGGAGATTTAGCGAAAATTTTCCGCTAAATAAGAGGGGAGCAAAAAAGTAGGAGGGGAGGGGGAGGAGGGGCATACCCTTCCCTCCTCCACCTCAAGAGCTGCGCTCTAATTCGGCATCACAGAGAATTGTAAACGCCCTATTTGTTTTACTGCGGCTTATGATGCGAATACGAGTATACATGCGATGCTGGTACTCCTGTGTAGCTGCTGAGCTAAGGTCTTCACCGTGTAACGCGCCGTGATTTCACGAATGGGACGCCGGTGAAGCGACGCCTCTTCATCTAAAATGGACTCGCAGTGTTAACTCCAGTGTGCGCTCAAATCAACTAAACTCGCAGAATGCAGCGCCATGCAGTTTTCGTTCCCCCAAGCTACCGAGTTTCGTCACAAAGGCTTCTACAGAGAGGAATGACATCGGCCCTTAAAAGCTCGAAAAGGAATGACCCCGTAAAACCCGGCGGCTTAAGTTCGCAATGCGATTCCTTAAGTTACATAGTATCGAAACCCTTCTATACAATTCGAAGAAATAAAACGACAAAAAAAAAAAATTAAACGAACGAGGCAAAAAAAGAAAAGGGAATACGGATACGACGGGCTTTTCTTCATAAACGGAGTGGTTCGGTTCGATGAAAACGACGGCCAAGTAAGTTTAGCGATAAAAAAGTTCGGCACTAGAAGGAAGGAGGAAAAGAGGACTTCGGCAACCGGCGGTAAAGCGGGACATCAGTTCCCTTCTGTCCACGTAGGATGCTTCTGCTGCCAGCGACAGTGGGCAAGTGAACGACGGCGGCCGGCTGGATTCCGGCTTCATACGCCCGGAGTCCACCTAAGGTAGACCCCGACGTCGAGTCGGTAATAAAGGGGGAGAGCCCGACCCCTCTCGGAGCACATCAAGAGGAAAGATGCATTTGTTAGGGAGGAATGGGAATGATGAAGGGGGAAAAGGGAGCGGTGAGGGAATTGGGGGAAACGGGGTTAAGGGAGAGGGCTTTAGGAGAGGGGGCGTAGGGAGGGGTAGGAAAAAGAGAGAAAAGGGGAACGCGAGAGAAAGGGGGAAATTAAAAGGGAGCGGTGCGCGTTAGACAGAGGGATCGTCCGAGGGAAAGGCGGGAAGGACGTTAAAAGGAAACGAACGGGACATCGTAGGGAAGCATAAGGGGAATTGGGGAAGAGGGCAGTGAAACGCTACGCTTCGGGGGAAGGGAGGTGGCAGAGAGTGGGGAACAAAAAGGATGGAAACGGGGAAATCGATGGCGCGACGTCACGACGGGGGCTCCATTCAGGCGGTCAGAGGAGCGGCGGATCCGGCGACGGCACGTGGGCGAGCGCCCACGGAGGCATCTTTGTCGTGCCGGGGGTCTCGTGCGCCCCGTGGAACGACGGCTCTCTGCGTGGACCGGGTACGGGTAGCGACGTGCACGCGTCTGGCGCCGCGGGTGAGCCACGCGGGGAGGTCGCCGTGACGTCACCAATGACGTCAGGTCGGGATACCGGCGGGCGGGGGCTCCGTGGACGACGAGGGGCGTCGTAGCGGGAAAAGACGCTTAGAACAGTCGTGCGTGCGGAACGAACCGAAAGTTGCGGCGGTCTTCGAGGAGATACGACTATCGGAGAGACCCGTGCCGTGTCACCGCTTAAGCTCCTTCGCTTTGTACGGATTTCTGTCTTATATTTCAAACGGGTCGTTTCACTCGTGTCGGGTTGAGAAGCGGCATGTCAACGGGCCTTCTTATTGGCAAACCAAACGTGTCATCCAGACTGACACGGGCATCGTATTCTCAGAAGCTTGAGGAGTGTGACTCAACAGGGCGATTTCGGCACTTCGACTGGCACGTTTTCGTGGACGTCAGGTCGTCTGGTTTACGATGGGAGAGAGAGGGCGGGGGGCACTCCACGCGCTTCGAGCTCCGGTGCGTTAACAAACCCGTCATCGCAGCTTTTGCACATTTGGTTCAGATAGGCAATCGACAAACTTCGAATGTTGCCGCTTTAATTGGCGGCAACGATAAGTGTACACAAGCTCACTAGTCGCTTTGACGACACTTGTACCAAGTAGTTCTGACTCCTAAAATTCTTCTTGAACAAAACAGACCCCCCTAAACCAGCTTAAATGCCTATTTTAAGTCCACCCTCATATATTTACATATAAACCACCTCGCCCTGCTTCTCACCCTCATTGCTGGAATATCCTATTGATGAAGACAAAGTTTTAAAACCCAAGTTAGTCGTTTGGATAATAGCGTTTCAGCTACCAGCAAATCCGCAGGAAACATCGTCAATCTCTTGTTCCCACTAACCGCGTCGCGCTCCGTAAAAATTGGAGTTGGACTGGAACTCATATTGAGTTCCAGTCCAACTCCAAGGAAGTCCAAGGAAGTACGAGGAACTTATAGAAGGAACCTGATAGAAGCCTAAAGTGACAGCGGACATACGTTCAACGGGAAACTTCATTCGAGCAGCGTGTGGAACGAAACATGTTAATTGAGTTGGGAAGCAAATGATGTCAATGCGAGATCATAAGAAGGTCGAGATCTGGGCTAGTTGCTACTCGCTATAGTGTTGTAACACCTGTCTCGCGTTGCTTGTAAAGAATAATACAGCCCTTTCTTGCGTTTGTTTCTTCCCAAACGTTCATGTTGTTGTTTTTTTCGCTGTTTAAACGATATCATATATGAGGGATAATAACGTCAATGATTGTGAATAACGTCAATGATGGATAACAGTTTAAATGATAGCTAACAATGTAAATAATATCCAGTAATGTCAATGATAGCCAATAATGCCATTGACGGCTACAAACGTCAATGAGGGCTCAGAAGTTAGAACTAATGGAGGCTGTTAATATCAATGTTAAACGTCCATGTTTGCCAATAATGTTAATGTTATACGTCCATGTTTGCCAATAATGTCAATATTTAACGTCCATGTTTGCTAGTAAAGTCAATGATTGCTAATATTCTTAATGATAATTAATGATGTCATTGCTTCGTAATGATGTTAATGTTAACTAACAAAGTGGCGATGATTGCTAAAATATTAATAAAGACTAATAATGTCAATATCTGCTATTAAACTCGATGATTGCTAATAATATCGACGTGGGCTCCTGGCGTTCATGGGGGCTTATAAAGTAAGTGACCGATAACAATATCAATAAGAGGAGCTAATGCCGTCAGTGTTGGATATTAATTTCAATGATCATTTATAATATCAGGAATAGCCATTCACGCCAGTAATTGCTAATTCCAACGACGAACTAAGTGTGTTTCAACGTTACTAGAACACTCAGTTGGGAAACTCGCCGTCGAAACCTGGGCCGCTGGCGTCCACCGAGACCGAGCTAAACACGACAACAGCGCCACTCTTTATCATTTGTCTGTACTGTGGTCACCTTGAGCTTTTAGAAAGCATGTTTTTGTGTAAAAACAAATGGAAAAGACTCTTTTTGTATGAAATGTTTTGGAGTTTAGTACAAAATGAAGGGCGCGTGACGTTTTTAAGATCTCTTCCACTGTATCTGTTTCGGCGCCAAAATGGCCGATTAAAGCCAAAATAGACGTCACGTGCAGTTCCTCGAGTGGCCGCTGCAGGAGAAATGGCGGCGTTGTGTTCGCCATTAGCTCGGTGCTCGACGACAGATCGGGGACACTTTTTTAGAGCAGTCTCTATGACAGTTTCCCAACCGAGTGGTTTTGTAACGTTGGTGTGGGTCTATCGTTTCGAAACTCCCGAAACTAACACACGCCTCCCTTTCTTTCCTCCCGGTGTCTGCGTGGCGGCGTCGGCTGTGCCACGTGTCCGGCGGCTGTGCGCGGCGTGTCAGGTGGTGTATCGCGAGTGGACGTGCGCCATGCTGGTGCCGGTGTACCCCGTGCCGTCGGCGACGCCGTCCAGGCAGCGCCCGACCCAGGGGGGGTCGCCGGAGCACCGCCAGCCCCCGGACGACGACGGGGAGCCTGCCGACGACCTCGTGCCGCTGCGCCCCTGCAGGGAGTTCTGCCACCGCGTGGAGGAGCAGTGCCCCTACTTCCATCCGACGACCAGGGAGCAGTACGCGGGGGAACCCGTCTTCATATGCATCGGTGAGTGGGCCCTCGACCTGTCTGCTTTATGGCGGCCTATGCGCCACATCCATATCACCTATAGCAGTGGCGTAAGCTCTGAGGAGGTTGAAACCCTTCCCCCATCCCACCCTCTCTTCGCTCCCATCTCCGTAGACTAAAGGCTAAAGCCATGATTCCCCCGAAAACATCGTTCAAAAACAAGCCTGCGTTTGCCCCCACCAGGCGTGAAAACTGCGCAGAAACCAAATCCTCGTCAGGCGACATTGGTCGCCGTTTGCCCCATCCTCCCAAGCGTTTGTCTAAATAAAACAATATTTTTTTTTTTTTGGTCCCGTAGTTATTTGCGATTCCAGCTAAACAAACGGCACCTAGCGTTCTATAGGATGCCCAAGTCACCAGGCTCGATATAAAATGGACCGTAAAAATCGACGCCTGCACGTAGCAATCTAAAATTTCCGTCAAAGGTGCATTTCACAGATCGGTTTTTCTTTATAAAATTAGAAAGCCTAGCTCCCTTTCTGTAAAAAATAGGGCCGAAAAACTTGTCAGGGTCAACGGTGGGCGGCGACGCAAACGACCAAGTCGAGTTGCGGGGCCCGTTTGGCGCGCGGATTGATAGATGGCGCTTCCTTCTCATCAAGACTATACTCCCTACGGGAGCCAGAGTTGCGCGTTCGTCCCCGTAGCGCCGTCTTTTCTGCACGGCCATGTTGATCCTGCTCCTCACTTTTAACTGAATTCGGCGAATAGCGGTGCCGCGCGTTCGAGGCGCGCGGCGCGTTCAAAAGCAGAGGAACGTACGCTGGGGCGCGAGCAACGTCTACTTTCCTGCACGGCATTTGATCCGGCTCCTCACGTGATCGCATCTTGGCGAATAGCGGCGCTGCGGCACGTGGAAAACAGAGGCGCCAACTCTGGCTCCCAAAATCAAAACTTAAAGTAAATAAAATGGCGTCTACATAACGACGGCGCTTTTGCTGCCTACGGGTTTTGTCTGCGTGTCGTCTGCTTTCTTTCGCTGGTCGGCTGCACTTTCCGGCGCTGCTCCCGACGCCATCTATCAATACGCGCGCCAAACGCGCCCCGCAACTCGACTTGGTCGTCTGCGTTGCCGCCCGCCATTGACCCTGGCAAGTTCCTTGGCCCTATTTTTTACAGAAAGGGAGCTACGCTTTCTAATTTTACAAAAAAAAACCGACATGTGAAATACACCTTTAACGAAAAGTTTAGATGTCTACGAACAGGCGTCGAAAACCCTATATGTCCTAACCTGCCCTGTGAGGGTCTCGCGCTAATTCATTCTTATGCAACAAGATTCCTGGTCGCGTGGTGGTGAAAACACGAAGCTGTTTAGTGGGGGCCTAGAACCAAGTGGTTGGAGTCGCGGATAGGGTTCGGCGACTGGAGAGGTAAAAGATAATACGATGCGATCAAAGGAACGGAGAATGTCTATTCCGCTTATCGCTAACACACAAAACAACACCCCCCCCCCCCCCCCCCCCCTACCACCACCACCTTTGAGTTCCACCGATGAAAAATGCCCTAATCAACACCGCTCGTCTAGCTGGGCGCTGGGCATTTCAAAGAGACACCCTTTTCACCCTGTCGATAACTAGACCAGCGGTGTTGATACCGCTGGTCTAGTTGAAATCGTGCTCGGGCGCCGCTCGCCGGTTTCCATAGCAACCGCCGAGGACGCTGTGTGACAGACACGGCAAGGCATAAAACCATGCGACAGCGTCCGCGGCGGTTTCTATAGCAACCGCCGCGCATCGTCCGTTTTCGTCGCTCACGCGTTTGGGGCTTTTAGCGTAGCTAGAGGCTTTGGGGCTTCAGCTCGCGCTGAAGGCGGGGCAACTTAAACCCCTCCCTGCCGCTCTCATCCCGGCAGTAACTCTAGTAGTATGTATACTTTCGCAAGCCTCAAAATCACAGAGGCAACTGCGCATCTGGCTACGGCTTCTGTTTGCTCAGCTGTCACTGAGTGTGGCAGCTAGATCCCGTCGGCAAAAATGCCGGCGCACAAAGTTGCACTGCAAACCAACATCCATTAAAAAAAAACCTAGAATAAATAGATAAATCTTTAGATAAAGGTATAGTAAACCGAATGACACTAAAAAAAAAAAAAAAAAACGCAGCTCAGAAACTATGGGCGTGTGGAAGAACTAGGAGAGCAGGTTGCACGGCACACGCCTATTTCGTTCCCCAACTGTCACCGTTGTCGAGCGAGTGATTGAAAGCGCCAAGCTCGTTTAGGCTCGCCTCCGTCCCTTTATTCTGGATTCGAGAGGATGGAAGGGAGAGAGAGAGAAAAAAAAGAAGCACCTGCATGGCAAGAGCCTACCAACTTCCTCGTTGGCTCGGCGCAAAAAAAAAAAAAAAATAGGGAAAAAGGGGGAAAAGTCGTCGTATTGGTGTGCAACGCACGTCCAACCGCGGAGGTGAGGCATGCAAGCAAAACGGGTGGACCCCGTCACAAGAGTTGACGGCGATCCCTACGCGAGAGCGACCTTGGGAAAAGGAGAAGGCCGATCGGTTCGGGAGGAATAGGGAAAGAGGGAAAATCGGGGGCAAACTGAAGAAAAAATATATAATAAAAAACTACCAGCGGGGACCGGGGAGGTAAGGACAGATAGAAAGGGACGCGAGGAATAAAATAGAGACCTGGGGAAAAGATATACGGGAGAGGGAAAAGAAATAGGGAAGAGTAAAGCATTAAATGAGGGTAGGGAAACCTAGGGACAGCGGAGAGGGGTGGGGAGGAGGCAACTGGAGAAGACTAGGGGAGCGGGAAAAATAGAAAAGAGAGGAATGAAAAGGAAGAAGGGGCGAAGGACGAGACAACGTAGGGAAGACCTAGGGGAGCGGAAAGGTAGGGAAGCGTGAGGGATGAAACGGGAGTAGGGGAAACCTAGGGGAGCGGAAAGTGGCGAGGGAAGATGCAACGTATGGAAGCGGGCCGATCGGAGAGGCCGAGGATGTTGGGGGAACTGGGGTAGAGTAGAGGGCGAGAGGCTCTTTTCTCTTTCTCGTCGTTTCCCCATTTCCTTCCCACTGCCACCCGTCCATCCGTCGCGGCGCGCGTCGAACGAGATTTGGGGGATTGGTCGGAAAGGAAGGGCTGCAGGGGAATCGTGCGCCGAGAAACTCTTTTTGCTATACCTTTGTAATTAAATGTCATTTCTTCGTTCCTCTTTTTTTTCATTTTTATTTCGCTAATTTCTGTTTAGCGCTTTTGTTTGTCGTTTGTTTAGGTCGCGGGACGGTCTGGAAGAAGCGCGGAGCTGTAGTTTGCGGGGGGAAGGATGGCGGGTTGGGAATAGTTGTGTACACTGCATCTTTCTCTGCTCTGATGTATTGATTGGTCGTTGCGTCGCCAGCGGCGGCAGCAAAAGCACGTTTCTTGTTCTCGTTTTTTTTTTCTTTTTTTTTAACGTTGTTTCGCGTTTATTGGGAAACGGACTAGCAGCGCGTCGAAAACGGGTCCGTGAACTGAATTCGATTCTTTTTGACTATTTCCCTTCTTTTCGTCGCCATGACCGACGCGTGCAAACGAGCGTGGGATCGTTTTATGTCGAGTTATCTCATTTGAATATCACATTTGTGGAATGTACTCACTTCCGAGAGGCTTAAATTTAACCGCGTCTACGAACACGTCTGCCGGCGATTTTTTTTTTTTATTGTTTTTGTTCGAAGCAATAACGTAATACATATCAAGTGACTTAACAAGAGCCGTATTTGTTGTATAAAGGTTAAGAAAAAAAAGGGAAAAAAGAGGTTAGCCTCTCTTAAAAATGGCTCCCGCCGGGGACTCCCCTGTAGATGACCAATTTGGCCGGTGCTGTACTGCTGCTCTGCTTTGGTGTTCAACGCGCGTCACGTCGTGGTGATTACACGATCGTCACTGTGGAACGTGCGCCGATATACGTGATGAACAATATAATGCAAAGCGACTGTTGTTTTGCTACAATTAATGCGGTGCAGCACCACCAATTACCTCGAGCCTTTAACGCTCATCACGCAGTAGTTATAAAACAAGAACTACTGGCTACTGCGCAATGTACGTTAGCTTAAAGGGGCCATGAAACGAATTTTGGGTTGGGATAAAGGATTTTAAATTGGCACTTTACTAATCGCATATCGTTTAGTTGGCCAAAAGGAAGAGGGCAGAAAGTCAAAAGACAGCTTTTCGGTACAAACATTTGAAAACATAGCGGACTATTTTGTACCTTCTTGCCTTCAAAAGCTCTCCGCCTCTTCACTATGATACATCCGCGGTTCCCAAAGCGCGTCACCGGCGCCAAACTGACGTCAGCTGAGCCCAGCTGACGGATTGGACACGAGAACCGCGTCACTCGGACTTATGCGCTCGTCAACAATCAATCCGTCGACGAATATTTGGATTCGCGTTCGTGGCTTATCGTCACTGGCGAATGACAAGTTCTATGGTGTGCATAAAAAGCACGGTGGAAGCTAGGAGTCATCGCACCGATGCCGAAGAATGTCACGACGACGTGATTTCACTATTCGCGTTTGAGTTGAGGATTAAAACTAAGAAGGAAAAAGTAGGAAAATCGTTTCATGACCCCTTTAATACCAGCAGTGCGACACTTTTACTACAATGCGGCCAGTGCAGTATAGGAGTGCTTTAGAGCGAGTTTCAACGACACTGTTTCAGGGCCGTCAAAACTCGTACAACTACAAACGTGTAAGTTTTTTTTTTTTCAATTCCCTCGTTATAATTATACTATCGGGTAAGAATGAAATGCCAACAGCGGAGTGCGTGGCCTTCAATGCATGGTGCGCAGCCCTGAGGCAACTACGAGCTGATAAAACAGCGGAGGGGACTGAGGGGCTACGAGGGTTTGTACATCGGAATAGGCGCGCAGCCTTGCAGTCTCCTTTCCATACTGCAGTTTGATCAGTTTCTAGTTTCCTCTAGGTAGCGCTGCATGTATCGTAGGTCATGAGCTCCGCGGTTCGCATGTCGTTGGTATCCGATATGTAGTACCTTTTGT